AGTAAAAGGCAGTTGTTTCAATTAAAATATTGTGTGCTACTTGTCGCGAAATGAACGGATATTAAATACAGTAAAATGAAACAATTAATGTTCTTAACTCAAATATATATTTTTCTGAATTTTTTTCTCTTTATTTTGGTACTGAAGTTTGCTTTAAATTCATATTTCGTATCAAATTGATTTTGAATTATTAACAACCACTCTGACTTTTATAAAATTTTATTGTTACTAATGTATCTTCTTTCCAGCTATTAATTTTTCTTTGTCTTTATCTGGATTCAATTAATCAGTTTCTGTTACAGAGAAATATCTTTATAGGTAGTATGAAATAATAATATCGGATAATCGACTGGAAGAAATGTAATATAAAATGATTGAAAAGGAAAAATGATTCTTGTAAGAGGTAATATTTGAACCGTACTATTTTCGAAAATTGTATCTAATCCTTTTCTGTTTATTCAGGCAGGTTGTAAATTTATGATTAAGGCTACATGAGCCTTATTATTTTCTTAAATTATGTTTAATCCTTTTCAGTTTTATTTTAGGAAGTATTCTGGTGAGGACAACAAAATCAACAAATTCATTGGACTTATTTATGAATATAGTCATTAAGATATAATCGTCAAACACTGCAGTGTTTAATTAGGAAGCGTTAGATTTAAGCGAATTTTTAATATAATTACGAGCGCTCGTATAAGTAGATATTCTTAGTAGTATAAGTATGTAGGGCAAATATGCAATTGCATATTTATTAATTACAGATCTGTAATCAAAATCAAAATTAAAAAATGTTGCGATAGGAATAAAAAGCAAAAATCTACGTAAATATATGTATAGATAAGTAGATAGGTAGGTAGTGAATAAAAATAATGCTCCTTTTGTTGTTCGTTTGCACAACAGTCGAAACGTTTTGCAAATGTACATCAAGAGGATGATGGTATTGAATAAAAATAAAAATTTGCATAAATGGAGGGTGGATGGGATGAGGTAGGGCGGGTCTCCACCCGCAGCAACCTCCCCGTGGTGAGACCTGGGCAATCGTTATTATTTGATGACTAATTAATAACTGTATCATTATTTCTATGGTACATTTATTAATTATGCAGCAAATAATACGAGCGAATTGGCTGCGAAATTTATGCTTTTTTTTTCTATTTAATTTCTGTTATATTTTTTTCAGGAACTATGCCTTCGAGATTCTGAAGTGTATCACATTGCAAATACAATTTTACGGAAAGAAAATTAATAATAATGAATACATGGTCAGTATTGTTTAATTATGCACTTACTTACACATCTAGCTATCGTAGGATACATGTGTCATTTAGGTATTTGCGAAAGGTAACGTAATATAGCATGCCGTTAGTTGTATGCAATAACTGAGGTGGCGCTTGAATCAGTTTCTAACAAGGGCTGTTTTACCGATGCGGAATTCGGAGTTCGGTCTCAACGCTTGCATCGCCATGTTAGATTTTCTACATTTGTATTTTACAACTGGATTATTGGTACCCCTTAGTTAACAGTCGGATTGGTACCCCTACAGTCGATCTTTCCTGCTGTTCAACTAACTATATATAATTTGCCATATTTTTGATATGCTAGAAATGTATTAATTTTGAATAGCAATTATTCTGTTAATATTTTTATAAATATTACATTGAATTAGAGTAAACTTAAATAAAATTCTTATCAGTGGTATAATTTCAATTTCGAAAATTATTTTTATAACCTGTAATGGTTTTAAACAAATTACCGAGATTGTTTATTTATTACTTATTATAAGTAAATGTTGTATCTACATTACATATGTACATACGTATGTTTGAAGGAGGTAGATATTCCTTATACATCATATTTAAAAACAAAGTGTATGTTGTAATGCTTAAAACATAAATCTTGGTATTTACCAAGAAAAAAATATTTTTATGTACAATGTAAGTAATATAGTAGCTCATAACGTGACTTTTTAATTATGAATGTCTTTACTGTTCATTGTTATTATATTTAATTTATTTGTGATTATTTAATTATTAGAAGATTTCTTTAACTTTATCTATATAGTGTATTTTCTTAGACTTTATCTTAAAACGTTCTTAAAACTTTTTTTTTTTAAGATTTTTTTAGATATATCTGTCTTTATTCGCAGGTGTAGTATGCTTCTAAAAGTTACATAGGTGTAACTCTCCTCACTAGAAACATATTTTATATATTTTACAATTAACAGTGTATATACGTGTATATATTATAAAAATAAAACCAAAGGGATTATAATAATCCAAAATGAATAAAACACCTGTATCTATTTTACAAGAAATGATGGTGAAGAAGCACACAGTGCCTAACTATGAACTTATTCACGATGGTGGAGGTACTCATATGAATACTTTTACATACCAAGTAACATGTGATGGTTTAAGTGCAACTGGTACAGGACGTTCTAAAAAGGATGCAAAACATGAAGCTGCAAAAGCAATGTTAGAAACTATTGCAGCACATAGAGGTTATCCACAGTTACCAGCATCACCTGCACAATCACCTGTTAGAACACCTTTACCTCAGCCAGTTCCTGAAGTACCTCGAATTCCACCAAATGTACCATTTGTTAATGCTATTGGTGCTTTACAGGTAAATCTCAATTGTTGTTTTCTAATTTTGGAATCTCACTTCTATATATTTTAGGATTTATGCGTAGAAAATAATTTACAAGAGCCCCAATACACACAAATTAGTGATGTTGGACCTCCACATGCAAAAATTTTTACTATCCAATGTGGAGTATCAACTTTTAAAGAAGTTGGGGTTGCAAGAACAAAAAAGCAAGCCAAACAAGAAGCTGCTAAAAAGATGCTGGAGAAAATAAGTGATTTAGTGTCCTCTATAGAGGATGATATAAATGATACAACAAACGAAGATAAGAGTAATGCTCTTGCAAAAGCTAATTATCTTTTATTGTCAAGGTTACCTTCAAGTAAAAAAGTAAATTTAGGTATTAAGATAGCAGAATATCATACGAAACTAAAAAGTAGTTTCACTAGTACTGTATGTGATGATCTAATTCAAACATTAGAATCGTTGATTCCCGAAGATTATAATGATGTTTCTGAAGAATTTGTAGAAGATTTATTAAGCAAATTTTCAGATTTTTTGTTAACTTTAAATTTACAAATTGAAGTTAAAACTATGAAGTCTAATGTACCAGATAAACATGTTGTAATTATGAAGATAGATAGTTCACCTCCGATTAGCCAAGTTTCATGTGAAAATACAATGACACAAGCTAGGTTTACTGCAATACAAGAATTAATTAATATAATGATATTTTTCTTGAAGTAATAGCTTATGGAAAAAAGAATGTTACAATGAATCTGTGAATTATGCCTTTTATATTTTTAACACGTTGAATGCCGTGAAGGTCACCGATGATCAGTACTCAACTTGCCAATAATATAATGTGCGTCATTAGTGACCAACGATTCCGATATTATTGAAAGCACCTGAATCAAATAAATGGTAATATGCGAACAATTTTTAATATTATGTTAACCTTATGATAATGATGTAAAATAATTAATACATCATTAGTGTTTAAATAATTTTATTTTTAATTATCAATATAATCTTCACAGGGGTTATCAATATAATCTTCACAAAATGTAACTTTTTTAATCAAACGATATCTTATGTTGCGGGGGTCACCGGTAACCTTCAGCAAAATGAATGCGTAAAGTGCGATAATACAATTCGATTGAATCGTTTAATATTTAATATAAATATTAATATTTATCATATCTTATCGCAATAATCGTATAATTATTCAATGTGTTAAATATAACTGGTAGAAACGATGAGATTTGTTGTTATCCAAAATTTCTTATTTTAATTCATTTTCTAACAAAGGTATTGCAGCTACCAAAATTACAAATAGTAAGTTAAGAATATGTTTTGTTATGAGTGATAACAATCCATATAAGTTATTAAAAGTTAAGTTCTCAATCGTAAATACGATATCAAAAAAGTATTTATTTTTTACTTTTTAGTTTAGAATTTCGTTCGTGATACAGTTTGTATTTCTTTTACAGAATTCAAAACGATTTTGACAGAGAAAACCACGGAGCGCGTGTAACAAAATAATCATAATGTTTTTCGAAGTTGTTAATTATTTTTTTTTATATCAATTTATATCTGTTATATTTAAATATTTTGTTTGCCCGTTTACCTACATTATTAATTAATATGATCTCGTGAAAGTTTTATTTTTGTTTTCGATGATTATAAATCACAATGTTTTTTTTTCTATTTTCCTTTTTTTTTTTACGACGTAGAGTATAGATTTTACATGCACATATTAATTAGACTTTCTTATTCTAATGTATTGCAAAAGTAAAATTGCAATTTTAACGAAGACACGAATTTAGTTTCATAGGAAATTCGTATTTTTAATTATTTGATTCACAATTTGATACAATAAGCAACTTGATATTCTACAGGGTGTCCCGTAACTTGTGTAACTCCCGGAAACGGGGGGTTGCTGGGGTGATTCTGAACAACATTTTCCTTTACCAAAATGTCGTTTGAAGCTTCGTTTTTGAGTTATTAAAGAAAAACACTGGCCAATCAAGCGCGCCTTTAACGCAGGCCGAACCACGAGAGCGTTGGCTTTCAGCCGTGCTCGGTCGTGGTCGTGAACAAACGCATTGGCACAAACGCATTCATTATTCATGAATAACGAATGATTCCACATTGTTCTTAATTTAAGACGATGTAACATTTATCGCACGCTCCACTTGGTACCCACGCTGTGCCAATGCATTTGTTCACGACCACGACCGAGCGCCGTTGAAAGCCAACGCTCCCGCGGCTCAGCGCGCGCCCGGCGCGCGCTCTGATTGGCCAGTGTTTTTCTTTAATAACTCAAAAACAAAGCTTCAAACGACATTTTGGTAAAGGAAAATGTTGTTCAGAATCACCCCAGCAACCCCCCGTTTCCGGGAGTTACACAAGTTACGGGACACCCTGTATTTTGCAAATCTATGAGATATTTTTTATTCTTTATAAGAAATAAAGACTTGACATGTTTATATGAATTATTTTTTATGTTGTGCTTTGTCCAGTGTTTGACGATTTCGCTTATGAAACATTCTGTTTTATTCTATTTTATATCACACAAAAGAGCTACACCTCGTAATGTCCAGTGCCGAGGATTGTGGTCAGTTTCGAAATCAATTGATCCTATGTATTTAGAATCTGTCCTCTGTGGTTTCCTGTATATAGGACATTCGTAAAGCTTTGGATCCTTGCCTGCCGTTGTGTTTATCGCGTAAATGTAAATTACTGGCATTTGCTCGTACAGAACCTTCGGTTTGCTTTCTACCAATTTGCTCGTTTTGCGATCGAGTGAGGCACCTTCTAAGAATAGCCCATGAACGTAAACTCCTTCCTGAGGTTGATTCTTTATCTCCTCCTTACTGAATCTTGTAATTAAATTTTGCAGGACGACAGAGTCAAGGGCCCACCCTTTGTGTGCTCTAGTTACCTCCTGTGTGGGAAATGTAGAGATCAGTCAAAGATTTGTACTAAATTATATAGTAAGCAAGTTGATAATTAATATTCAAATCAAAATAAGATTTATGTAGTATATTTATGTTACATATGGGAACAATTATTAATGTTAATTATAATAACTATTAATACAGTAGGCAGTTAAATGTTGTATAAAAGAAGCTCATTATATTACCACTACTAACAAAGGATGACTCCGAACTCGAAAATTCAAAAAATTATAAAACTTTGTGAATATGTAGGGGATTTCCTCATGATTCAAACGCAATTTTCATTTGCTCTCCGTTTTCAGTCTAAGGGGGTGAAAATCTCCCTTAAAATTTCGGTTCGTTTTTTATTTTCTTTGAAACCGTTAGAGATATCGAAAAACTTAATAAGCAAAAGTCTTTCGATGCTGAAGCAAAGAATTATTTAAACGATTATAAGAAGTTACGAATAAAAATGTTTAAAAACGGTTTCAGAGAAAAAGAAAAAAAACGAACCGAAATTTTAAGGGCGATATTCCCAAAGTTCCATAATTTTTTGAATTTCCAGGATCATTCCTTGTAAGAATTTATAGCTCCACCTGCGATAATATAATGAGAGTCTATAAATCAATCAACTAACTTGTCGCATCGCGGTTAAGAATCCTTGAGGATTAAAGAAACCGGTCATCCAAAATACTTTAGGCCGGCCATGAATGCACCACTGTCGGAACTGATAGTCCCGTTCCAACAGTTCTGTATACCAGAATCCAAGTGTCGCCGATTCCCAAGATATTTTCAGCCATTTCTCTGGAATACGAGCATCGTACATTGCATCCAGTGATTTGCGCAAACCTTGACTCATCACGATGGTACCCTCGATAGCTAGCTTTAAATCTGTCAATGTAGTGCGTACCTCTTTGATGACTCGGGTGATCCTAAAGAGATATTATCAATAACCAAAAATTTATTGTCAATAACAGAAGGAAAACTGTACCTGTCGATTTCTTGACGTAAAAATATGTTCATAGGTAGCAGTGCTCCCATTCGTTGAAGTGCCTCTTTCACTTCAAACGAATTGTACTGTTTCGGTAATTTCTCAAGCATATCACTCGCGAGTTTGTATACCACGTTTTCTCTGGTCTCACCACCTTGTGCGCCACCCTCCTTCGGTTGCACGCTCAAAATCGTGTCAAGTATTCCCTTAGCCGTGTTTATTTGATAAGTGATGTCTGCGTTCGGGTGCAGGCCGAACACTTCCGGGGTATCCGTGGCGGGTAGAGAATCAATGTAATCCAAGTATCCCTGAAGATTCTTCGTCTGAGGTACCTTGTACCCGCGGTAAAATTCGAAGCCAGATCGTAACAACACGTCGCAAAACCAAACGTGTGTAAACGTAGTTAGCAATCGTTTGTCGAAGTCGTCGGTAACTCTACCACCGTATTGCACCTGCATCCGTGTACGAATATATGTATCAAATATTGAGAGGTGTTTATCGGAGAATTAATCATTTTCAGACCTCTCCAAGCATGTAGCAAACAGTCGGCCAAGACACTCCTCTTTTCGGATCCATGTCGTCCAAATGGTTCTGTATAAATTGGACGGAAGCAGCAAAGTCGGCTTGATTAAATTCATACGGTATGTTCCAACCAAGCGGGCCAAATTTCCTGCGTTCTTGCACCACTGTGTGCAGAAATGCAACGGCATATAACAAAGGCGGCCATTGTGACTGTGTGCTGTAATCCAGTGTGTCCTGTGTTACACCTTGATAGGTCCTCTTCAAGCTGGCTCTGATACCTTGAGGGGGTTCGTTCGTAAATTTGATGGCCATCTAAAAATTGATTATTCATTTAGAAAATAACAGAAATTAATAGTGATTGTAAATATCGGGAAGTACCTGCAATAGGCCAATGGGAAATTGAGGATGTACTTCGGTGGTCATCCAGAGTCTGAACGCCTCGTGGACGGTTTCCGTTTCAACAAGGGCGTCCATGACTTCCGTACAAAAGGGAAGAGACAAGTGAATGTTTTGCAGCAGTACCCAGCTGCCCGTGTTCATAGCATCTGAGATTAATCGTCGAGCATGAAATTCTTGTCCTTGACCCATAGACACTGATTTCAATTCTGTAATATAAACGCAGTTTTTATTCAATTCTTTTTCAGATTATGGAGACCTTAGCCCTATAAGAAATAATTTTGATTCTATGTGCTTACGAATAGATTTCTGCTTTGCTAGTATTGTTATCTGTGGGCTGGGGTCAGATCCGATCGACAGTATGCATATAAGCGGAGTCCTAACTTCAGATTCCAACCAAGTAGCCTCCAAGTCCAAAATCTTAGCCTCTCCATACTCCTTTCCTAAAGATTCGATCACATACTTCCTTGCTTGAGACAAGGTCCTGTCAGGACTCCAGGATCTGATCAGAAGTAATTTTCTAAACACGTCCAGCTTCTTCTGATAGCCACACGGTAGCTCTTCTTCCTCTGGTTTCTCTTTCTCGTACCACACTCGCCATTCCTTCTCGTTATATTCAATTTTCATTAAGATATCCGAGAAAGTTTCCAATTTGCTGATCTCGACTAGGTTCAACCAAGTTATATCCAGGATCCATCTGAACGGTTTCTGAACGACCGCGTTCAGATCCAGAGATGCTCCTCCTTTTATGAAAGCATTGAACTCTGCGTGGGTGATCGCGCCTCGATGACAGTCGATCTTCATCGCCAACATCAGCGTGAACAATGACTTGTGTCGTTCGTACAGACTTCGCAAAGTGAAGGCCCATACTTCATAGGTCAGATGACGAAGGATTATGTTTATTCGTTCGCTAGTGATGGGACTCTTGGTAGACTTGGTGATGGAGTTGTCGAATATGGTCAGGAACTGTCTCAACGAGTTCTGGTACATCACGTTGACGTTACTCATTTCTACGATCAGAAAATACAAGATAGACCCCCTCGAAGCGACTGCACGAAATTCCTCTCGTGCTAAGGTGATCTTCTTCTCTGTCAAAGCAGACACTTTTAGCTTCTCGTTAACCGATTCTGCTGTCACTTTAGTTTCTCTGAGTACGTTAATAAGCGCTTCATCGTCCACCAGAGAACCTTCGGAAGATGTAAGTCGATGGAGAAGAGTACTTTCGAGTTCCTTCATTGATCGTTGGTTCGTCATGACGGATTCGAAGAGAGCCACCCTTTCTGCCTCTAAATCTGCCTTCTCCATAAGTATAACTCTACCTAACAGCTGATCTTCAAGACCTAACATCGTGACAGTGAAGTCTATTATCGACGTCTTGGCTGAGATCTCTGGACTGTATGCTGGATTTGGTAATTTCGTGGTAACGTATAACATGAAGCCTGGCATCACATCGCATTCTTTGTCTCCAACAATGACTTTTTCAATAGAACCAGACTTGATGAAGTTCTTCTCGAGTACATTATCTAGAACTGGGTCTAGCTCTTCAGCGATGTCCTCGATCAACAATGGTCTACCTAACGAAAGACTGTCTTCAAGGTGGGTTCTGAAGTACTTGTGATTCAAAGAGGTTATCTGTAACTCATTCATGCACTCCTTGTTCTTGATCCACATCTTCCCTTGGTTTTGAGGATCCACCAACAGAGGATAGGAAGAGGATTTAGTTACGATCAGAGCATTCTGCACGGACAGCTCGTCGTTTGGTAATCCCTGAAGAGTCCATTCGGACATGGTCGCACTATCTACGAGCATGTTCGTGATATTTAGGTTTGTGGTGAAAGGAATAGCTTTGGTCGCTAGAATCTTCATCCACGAAGTCACCAAACTAGCTCTGTACTGTTGGTTGTACGGTCCACAGTAGGATAAGAAGCCAGTAGCCAGAAGAACGTCACCAACCAGTCGTCCTAACTGAACCTTGAACTCGCTGCTTTGTTCGGTCCAACGTATCTTCTCGCCTCCCAATCCATTGATCAACGCGGTTGCAGCAGTCATTTTTCGAATACAGACATTGGCAGCTTCAGTCAGCCTCTGTTTCTCCGACACAGCGGAGTCGTATTGCTCTTTGACCGCTTGCAGAGCCATTTCTCTTTCAGACAGTTCTCTCTCAGCGTTTGCCAGGTCCTCCATTGCTACCTTGAGCCTTGCTTCCTGTAGAGCCAAATTAGCCTTCAGCGGAAGTACCTCTTTGTTGACCGAATGGAAGAAAGCCATGGCCTTCGTCCAGGACAACAAACCTGCCACGTCGCCGCAAACTCGCCTGGCAGTCTCCATATTGTAATCCTCCATCTTGAAGTAAGGCTGCAGCAATTCGACCATCTCGTTATTGATTATGTCCTTTGGATAGTTTTGCAGCTGAAGCAGGAACGTCGTGCTGGCCATCATCTTCAATGATTCCGACCATGAAGGTTTTGGGCATGGAGCAGCAGTGTCCGGGACAACTGGGCCAATTTTTCTTTGAAACAAAATTAACACGCAGTCCATGATCCTCATTATAAGATGAGGCGGCCTGCCTAACTTCCTTACGGTGGCTATGTGAGCAGGTTTGATGGTGTTCAGAGCAGCCTCTGCCTCTTCCAGTGCTGGCTTAGCAGCCTCTAACTTTTGTTCGGCAAGTGCTTTCTCCTCGGCTATGCAGGCTACTAATTGTTCAGCTTTCTCCTTCACTTTTTGCACTTGGTTCTTGAACGCTTCTGCTTGCATAGCTCTCTCAGTTACTTCCTGGAGGACGGTTTCAGCTTTTTCGGATGCTTGGACCAAGTCCTTCTCCATCACAGCAAGATCTCTTTTCAAAATTTCCACCGATATCGAAGCTTCTTCCAGTTTCGCTAAACCTGTGTCCATTCTCTTCGCTCCTTCCCCAAGTTCGTGCTGTTTGCTTTGGTAAATGTTCTTGTAACCACCGATGAAGTTCAAGTAGGACTTAGGTGTGACGTGGGTGGCACGTCGGAACCTCTGGAAGTACTCTGCGGATGTGAGAGAAACGATATCTTGTATGGAACCCAGGGCATGCACCAATTCATCTTTCACTTCGCTGGTGCACGCGATGCTGAAGTCGTGTAAGAAGTGTTTAGCAACTAATATCAACGCGTCTTTCGGCCATGGTTGGAACCAGTCGATGGTACATCCGGAGATAAGTGCCGGGAAACGTTGAGCACGATTTCGGAATTTTTCACCGACTGGAGAAAAACAGAATACTACGTGAAGATTTTGACACGTTCTTTGAAGAAAGAAGTCCATTACTAGCTCATTATTGATTGATCTTTTTGGATTCTCGCGTCTTAAGATAGGCGTTAGCTCTAAAATAATTTCTTGTTGTTCATCGCGAGTGAATAAATTGCTGATCACTCCGGAACTTAGAATATTGTTTAAATATTCCAAGAAACCTTCTTCTTTAATGTCCAGATCGGTGAATATGAAGGTGGTTCCCTTTCCCTGAGCTCCGCAAGTTCGGTATAAATATCGCAGATCTTCTAAGAAATTTGCTACATTGTAAGACCTTGTCAAAGTTATTTGGAACGTTTTGTAGCCTGCGATGAAGGACGATAATTTTGTAAGGCTTTGTTTCCCGGAACCACCAACACCTACCAGCATCACGTTTCCTTTTGGATGTCTAATGACTCTGGATATTTTGACCAAGTGTAACATGGCATCAGGAAAGAAGACTAAATCCATTCCAGAACCTCTTTGCATCTCGTTGAATTGTGAGAGGAACATTTCTAATCTGTCTCTAAGGACCTGGTCGTCGTAGACTGGTTCGTACACTTTTGGTAACTCAACATCTGCATCTTCACCCTCTTCACCAGTCGGTTCTGGAGCATCTCTGAAAATAATAAGAAGTTGATGGATTTTGATAATGAACATATCTGTGGATTGAGTTTAGAGTTTTAGAAGTCTTAGGGTTTTCGGTTTTTAGGGTTCCCGAGTTTCGGCGTTCCTAACTTCTGGAGCCCTCCTTCAGTTCTAGAGTCCCCCTTCAGTTCTAGAGCTCTAGAGTTCTGGGATTCTAAAATTCTAAGGTCCTACCGTTCTAAAAGTTTAGAATTCCCGAGTTTTTAAGTATTGGAGTACAGAATTTCATAGTTTAAAGTTTCAAAGTCCCAAAGTTCTCAAATTCTAAAGTTTCAAACTTCCAAAGCTTCAAAATTCGAAGTTCAATTACCTCATGAAGTCTACAAACGCAGGATCCTGGTCTAACATATCTACATATTTCTCTCCCAGCATCTCGTTCACAACCCTCACTAATTCTCCTTCAAACCAGTCCTTATCCGTTTGTATGGTGAATCTATCACTGAATACACGACTGCATTCGTGTTTCCACAGCAGCATTAGAACATTTTCCTTATCGATCACCGTAGACAGTGTACCGACCATCCCCTGCCAAATTCTTGACAAATCACGTAGATTGAATACATAATGAAACTTTGCTGGCGTAGGCAGTAGGTGACTCCTGGTTCTTTCCCAAAGTATCCTCGTCAAAGGGACCATTTTCTTAACAAGATTTCTAACATCCACTGAGAATCCTCTCTTATTATTATAATGACCTTCGCCAAGCACGCTAAAGATCCGATCTATCGATGCTTTATCAGGTAGCGTACAATTGAAAATACAAAATTGTCTCTTCAATCTCGATGGAATATCGTTTCTACCTCCTCCAGGTTGACACATGGCAGCCAGATACGTCATATCCACGATATTAGTGAAGTCTCCGGGTTTTTCAAGCGAATAAAACCCTTTCATATCCATCGTCTGACGGACGATTTCATTAGTGACTTGATCGCCCCACTCATTTATCTGTGGCAAATTAATATCATCAACGAAGACCATCATCTTCTTACCACCTGGTGGTCCAAACGTGTTACCCAAACGCTTCTCCACGTAACTTTCAATAGTTTTCTGAAACTGAAACGGACTTGTGGCGGAGCTAAAGTTAAAAGAGCGACTCAGAGTGGTTTCCGGATTAGCTTTCTTCATGTATGATTTCATCATCACCGTTTTAGCAGAGCCTTGCTCACCTATCAATAGAACAGCTTTGTCTTGTCTGCCGATTAGATCAATCAGATATTGTATCCTCACGTTATCAGGAATTGGGACCAGCACGTTGCTGTAATCAGGTGTCGAATATTCTGGATAAACGTAATTAGTCACCATGCTCGTCCATGTGTCCCATTTACCTTTCTCGGTTACATAGAAATCAAATAACTTTGCTTCAGGATTGTTCTCCGTGTTTGGTAAATCCAGATTATCGAAGTTCTCACGAAGATACTGATCGTACTTTGCTCTGTCCGAGGTCTCTAACAACGCTCCTATACCCCATATTTGGGTGAACACGTAGAAACGCTGTAAATGTTCCATCGTCATCGGTTGTCGTTTCTCTTCCTCCGTTTCTTCGTCTTCTTCTTCTTCTATGGATGTTTCGAGAGGGACAAGGCCTTCGAGAAGGCACAACATCTGTTTCACTATGTTGCATTGTAAGACGTCTATTGTTAACGTTAAAACTTGAGTACTCCATGAATAAATCTGTAACCATGATGATTTTGTAGTTATTAATTCTGAGTCGTCGAAGCACGTAAGAGGTCTGCTTGTGATTTTTAAAGTTAAATAAATTTGCAATTTTAATCTGGCGAGTCTTAGGCGGGTCTGACATGTCCGGGTACAATCGTGTGCTTTTATTTATTAAAATGTTGCGGAAGGGTTTATATTTTACCTGTGCAAAGGAGTCTGCGAAGCACTGACCAAACACCTCTTGTTCCAAAGTGCTTCGAGTTTTTAACCAAGCAGTCACTACAGGGTTCCAATCCAACCCTGAAGAACTCATATACACCATCCCGTTACGAGATACAGTGGCAGGACTCGCATTGTCGATGTTATGCGGTTCGAAAATGATTTTGCAGGTTGCAGCCATCGGTAAACGATCACCATTCGCTAGAGTCAACGTTTTATTATCGTCTAATACGGAATTCAAGTTCTCGATCCAAATACTGTCGACCGGACCATCGAGAACTAACCACACGTGTTCTCCTTCTTTCAATTTTAACGTCTTACGCCATAGAGCAGAGAATATTCCATCTGTCCAATCATTTGTCGCTACATCTAGTCGACCGAACATTTGGGCTGCTGTTATGCTCTTTGGATTCATTCTCATTTCTCTGTAAAGGGATCTCTCTGTTAATCATTATTTAACGAAAACAGCTTTAATAAGAAAGAAGTTTTCACTCTTCAAATATTTCATTGTTATTTTAAGGGAAAATTTATTTCTGCGTTTTTTAATTAAAATTTAAATTATTATGTAATAGCGAGAAAATTTTATTTGTTAATATCAATTTGAAAAAAGTACTTTTGTGTCTGCTAATTCTAAAAGTAGTTAATTACCTGTGAAAATTACCACACTGTGTTAAAGCCTTCATTAAAATGTGTATACATGTTGTTTTTCCAGATCCAGTCGGACCCAGGGTCATTATTCCATGCCTTACTCTCTGTGTCTCGTATAATTGTATTAATTTCAGTACCCATGGTGGATGGTATATCAAGCCAGCTTCTTCCACTTGTTGATTGATTGCGGCTTCCAATTCCGGGTAAGAAGTTTTTTCTAGAGCTTGATTGGGAAATAAATCTGCCACCAAGGAGATGAACAATGGCTCGTCCTCGTCTAAAGTAATTACATAGTAAATCGAAAGAATTCGTTATGCGAATCTTTGAATATCTCCTTGGCTTTGTAACAAAAAACCGTATTACACAGAGAATTGATAAGGATATGTGGCTACTTGATACTCGGATTGGATTCTCGAAAATATAGATTGCAAAATCGTCGGATCAGGTCAATTTGAGCTGACCAAAACAATACCGGACCCAATCTGAGTATGGGTAACCAAAAATTTTCGAGTTCACATACACCTATCCTTTCGAGAACTTAATTTAATCCGATATTTTTCGGTTGCCGCACACCCCTAAATATTACCTATCAATTTTGAGAGATTCATATCTCTCAAAACACGCATAACAATTGTACTCTCTGAATCCTTCGAGTTCACTCTCTTTGATGCTCCTAGAGTTCTAAGCACGGATAGTATATTTCTCAAGCCAAAATCGTAATGGACCTAAACAGATGATGAAAATTTTATTTTATTTTTTTATTGGGAGTACAATGATACTTCTAACATGCTTGCCTGTTTAGTTAGTTGCTCTTCGCATAGTTTATACAAGGTGTAAAATTTACGAGCGAGTGTGATATTCTCCAGAAAACCACAGCTAGCTAATTTTACTCGAATGATGATCTGTCTGTCGGGTACCATCATTGCAACAGTACGAAATTGAATCTTCAGGTTCTCTGGGAGTTCTTTTCTACCAGCGTATCCAGGATTCTGCAAATAGGTGCTAAATTAACCTAAGGCACCGATTTTTGATTTCAATTACCATTGTTATGAATATTCCAAGTTCAGGACACATGTCTATCAGATCTCCATCGGTGAAAACAAATTGTTTCTTTTTTTCTTTCTTCGCAGCAAGGACAACCGCGACTTGCTGTGCAGCTACAGACAGAACCGGAAGTTCTATTCTATTAAACTCGTCGAAACACCCCCAGGAGCCACTCTCAGCCAATCCTTTGTAAATTCGACCTAATCCTCTGTAGTCCATTTGATCGGAACAATTGAAAACCACCACATACTTGGCCAATGTTTTACCCATGTCTTTGACTGTTTCCGTTTTTCCAGTTCCGGCTGGTCCACAGGGTGATCCACCCATCGACATCGATAAAGCTTGTGCCAAAGTTATATAACACCTATGTAAATGTATGAAATTTTTAACAAATTTTCTTCATGATAACTTGAGTTTCTATAGTAATTACCTGTCTGTTAATGGAGTGATGACCAATCGTTCGGTACAGCCTAGATATTCATTTTGATATGTAAAATTGACGTCGGTTATGCATATGGATGTTTTGTCCAGATCTTCCTTGAAGTAGAATCTACATTGCTTCAGCCACTCGAAATCGTTTACTGATCGTACATTTAAACGGCACTGTTTAGGAAATATATTTTTCACTAAATATTGTTTGATATCTTTTTGTTAACCATAAAGTATAGATTAGATTGCTAAAAATTTGTTAAAGATACGTACCAGTATATCAAAAATATCACGTTGATGCACATGAATGGTGATCAGAGTCTCGAATTTCGTTCTCTCAATTTTTGCCAGGTCTCTGGTTGTCTGATCAATCAATGTGTTCAGTAAGTCGAGGAATCTATTGTTCGTTTCTCCCATAATCTTTTTATCCGCTCGAGCTTGAGCCAAAGCTTGTTCACTATCCCTGGTCCAGATCATTTGTATTCCAAGTAGACCAATTTGAGCAGGCATTTTATTCAAAAAACCAAGGAGATTGAAATTGATATCGTTGATCATGGAGTAGCATTGTCGAATTATCGAGTGCAAAGATTGTTGAGATGTTTGCAATAGTTGCGTTAACCAGGTTTCCACTGATCCTTCCGCTCTGACCGCTTTCTCAAGCTTGTTTAATTGTAAAAATATCAAACAGAAATTTTGTACCTCATAAATTTACCTATTATAAAACGATGATCGACCGATCAACTGTCCACTGAAGAGTTCAAGGGTATCGGGGTGCATCGTCAGTGGTGAGGTGTGGGACAGGGATTTATAAACTTGTTATTATCTAACTTACAAATTTTCAAATTTAGAAATTTAGAAATTTGGGAATTTGGAAACTTGGAAATATGGAAATTTAGAAATGTGAACATTTTTTTATAAATATAGAAATATCGAAATTGAAGTGTAGGAATTTCAAATTTTTAAACTACTCTCTGAAAACTATAGCAGTGATCATACATATTCTCAATATTTTTCATCTGAAAGTATAAGTGTACGTACCAAGATCGTTTCCCCTTCAGACGATATGATAGCCATCATTTTATTATACTCGATATCATGAAATTTCACGTAACGTGTGTTATCAAAAATAGAGAGCAAATGATTCTGTATTGTATGTGAGTCAGATGCTTGACCGAGTATCTCCAATAAAGCAGGATCAGATACGAAGAAGAATCTTGGAAACATCATACGCTTTTTTTCCAAGTATCTGCAATCACATTTACTATCTCAAATTAGTGCCATCAATTTTTCAAATTGCATATTAATTTAACTTTTGATTTAATTTTAGATATTAAATTGAACTAACATCGTCATTAATCAAATAAACTCACCCGCTCAATGATTTCTGGCAGAGTTCCAACTGTTCCTGAAGATGTGGCAAAAGTTGTTTAAGCAAATCATCCCCCACGCAGCAAGGAACTACCCCCGGAGTTTCATGAGCCCTTTGCATGATTTTCTGCCAGCTCTTATCAATTTTACTAAATCTTTTCGCCTCTTTAGGCAGTTGTTTAGCTATATCTCCACCGACGAACACAGCTTCAAGGTAAACCCACATGTTCTGCACCAGGAGCCATCTTTCTAAGATTTCGTTGGTGTTGGACAGATCCGCGAGCCATTGTTGTATCTGCTTGCGAAATGGCGCATTGTATCGGTTCGACATGAGGGAACCGAGCACCATCAAACTGTCTTCCAGCTGACCGATTGTCTCCGCAGTGGTGTCCCCTCTGAGTAACAATTCTCCTCGATTGTTAAACGTCATGAACGTCAGCTCGTGGGACGACCACTCGTTCACTACGGTCCTCAATTTAGCTTCTATGTCCTTCTCCTTCATAGCAGAGATGCAGATGTCCTCGATGTCCTCCTTATATTTCAATAGAGGCGCCTCGAGGATGTTCTTCAAGCAGAAGCCTTCGCTGTCCAGATCGAACGAGTATCCCGTCACTTCTACGATCCTGTGCCAGTGACGTGGTTTCATCGCCTTGTTAGCCATTAATTCTAATAGAGGGCACATATCATTGAAATCATCTATCGTTTTTTTTAGGGCGAAGAACGCGGGCCATTCTTTTAAACCCTTTGGTAATTTGCGACATCGGTTTTGGAATTCCATTAGCTCGTTGTTTATGTCCTCGATGTTCACCTAAACAATAAGGTAATAAAGCCTGAAGAGATCCTCAAAATAAGATTCAAAGGATTAAATAGGGGAGATCGGGGTCGAAATTAACCTTACCTCACCCCAAGGAATGTCATAATAGCTGTTCACTCTATCAATAACATCATTATATAGTTTGTACAGTTTCTGTAGTAAATTCAGTTCCTTTCTGATTTGTGACAATTCAGGATAATCAGTAATGGGTAAGCCAAAAAGTTCTTCACCACTTTGATAAGTCTGAAGCTTTCTCCACATGCCATCGAATCTATTTTGAAAGAGGATCTGCCTATCGGAAGCTTCTCTTGGACTCAGACCAGGTTGCATCGGTCCGGAGGATCTATACTCCTCGCAATACATTGTATTATCAATACGGAATCTTTCCAAATTATTTCTTAGATCTTCTTCGAATTGAGGTTGCAATTCTAATAGCAACACGTGACTTTGTTGCGCTCGATTGAGCAACTGCTGCCAGGTGTATCTTAAATTGTCTACCTGTTCCAAACACTCTTGATCCACTGGTACCTCGTATCTCGTGACAATGTTGAAAGCTTCTTCGATTGGGTCGATCCTCAGTTCCATATCCACTTCCTGTTCGCGAATCTTTTTCAGAGTGTCCATGATTAATCGTACATCGTCGAGATCGCGTATCTGACGATCCAACTTTCGATCCATTTCGTTCATCAATGCGTAGACGTACTCCATCTCGCGTCGATACTTTTTCTTCATGGCTTGACCAATTTTGTGAGTGCAGGCTGTGAAATAGACGTCGTTAAATTCGTGTTATTATAATACAATTATTGTAATATAATTTAAAATAAGAAATTTGAAGCCAATCATTTTGACAGGGGTTTGGTAATTGTAGAGTTAATTAAATTTAGGGCACGTATTTTACAAGAGAGTCCTTCATGTCACTAATCTCTTGGTAAAAATTAAAGTTCCACCCCGCTCCTGCTTACGACTATATTACCTTTAATTTCGGTATAGAGTCCATATTTTAATTTTTCCGTGGATACAGCAATGGATGTTCCAAAGATGATCATATCCGGTTCAGTAGCTAAAAGGTCTTCAAGTTCGCTGTGTTTTCGAAGCGTGCTTTCAAACTCTGGTAGAGAAATTTGTAGCAATTCTCGTATGCTCTTTTCGTTCTTCCATAGAAATTTATAAGGTTTCCATCGATCGATGAATTCAACAAGATCCTATGATAAATTCTTCGTTTTGATCGAAATATTATATATTTTACTAAGAGGAAATTTATATAGACTTATGAGATTGATTACTGGTTTGAATTCCTGCATACACGTGTTTAGCATGGACAATAACTTCATCACTTCTTTATTGTCCATTAGCATTCCATGAAAATTACTCTCTTGCACGGGGAACATTGGCCTCTCCTCGGAGATGATTTTGTACAACTTTCGCCTTCGAATTCTTGCATCTTCTGGTTCTTCCCGTTTCTTCTTTGCAGCTTGAATTTGCGCTCTCATTACAATGTCCGCGAAGGTTCTCTTTGGATATGCTTGTTTCCAAGAATTCTAAATCATTAGACAGATTAATTTTTTAAAGAATTTGAGGAAATTCCATGAAACTTCCAAAGAATTTTGGAAAACTCATACTCCCCAAATACTTCGCATTCCTCGAACTTGTTTCACCATAAACAGAATTCAAGAATTCACCTTGTTAACTCTAGAATTCCACTGAGAAACTCCTTTCGCGACGCCAGCGATAGTTTTGCCAACCAACATCAAAGCCTCCTGAACATCATCCAAACTAGGTTTCACAGTTACCACTGGTATCATTAGAGTTGCATGTAGCAAAAATATTGGACTCGGTGTTTCCTCTGAAGGATTATTCAATTATTCATTTACTTCATTATCGATTTTGAACGCATATTTAATCACCTGAATCGATCTCCCGAATGAATCTTTTTCTAATTGCATCCAGAGAACTTCTGGTAACTTTTATTAGAACATCCACAACCTTTCTGGAATAATATCTTCTCATTTCAGATACGGCGTTTCGCACCATGTCCTGCATGCCTTTTGGCAAACTACCAGGTGTAGCTAACAATTGATGAGGATCATCGAATAAGCTCCATACCAAAGACCAGTCTTGTTGAGCTGTTTGGTCTACCGTTTCTTCGTCCTCTATAAATTAAAATATTTGTAATAAATAGTGATACGAAAGATAGAGAAGAGTAAGAATGAATTATTCAAGAATTTCTGATTGAAAAAAGAGCAGAGTAAAAATCATAAAGTAAATTTACTGAATTTTATTAAAACAATTATATGAACTTTATGAATTTCATTAAAATTTTAATAATTGAAATTTAAATGTAATACAAATTTGAACAGTACACAAGGGTTAATATTTCCAGAATAGGGTCTTTAAGGATCTGTTATTTTTTTAAATACTTAACAAATTATTTCAATTCACGGAGAGGCAGAAGAGAATAATAGAAATATTGCGATCACCTTCGATATTAAAAAAATCGAATTGACTGGAGTTAGCGGCGCTTTTGAAGTTCTCCGCAGCGTTCTTAACAAGATCTAGCACTTCCTCTACCGCCTCTTCTACCATCATACTTTTACGATACAAATCTACCGCTGCCAGTCTGCATATTTCCTCGGTCTTCTCCACAAATTCCTCTATCGTCCAAGGTTGATCAGACTCTGGTAGAGAATGTAAGGTGATCTTTTGCATACTTGTGAGTACTTGAAGAATCCTTGGAATGAATTAAAAAGACTGTTATCAGATTTGATTAACTCTTCTGTTATGTTTAAATTTACGTGAATTAAATAAAAAGAATACAGTTATGTTTTTTTTTTTTTCATAATACATGAATGAAGATTTATGATAAAATGGAAAAGAGGGAGAGATAAATTAGAGAATACAGAATTAACATTTAAGGTAAAATGGATAAGCACCACCACTATATGATCTAATATGCAATTAATATTACCAAGGTCTTTTTGATTGTAATAAGCCTAAATTTGATTATTTTGATAGGATTATAACTGAAGCGTTAACTATCAAAGGCTCATTAATTAGAGTTAATAACCATCGACGTCAATAAATGCATTAATTGTCAATCAACGGAACCGGGTCAATGATGATCTATGCCTATGAAACACATAACAGAGCTCCGACAGAAAAGAAAATAATAAATGAAGGAATAGTCCAAAATTTACAAAATGGAAATGAAATAGTATTCAAAATTAAACTTAAATTAAATGTGGAAATAATTAAATTTTAATATTTTGAAAATTAAAGAAGTATGATGGATCTAACATATATTGTAAAGGGTTGTAATTACCGATAAAATCCCTTTGTCAGTGATTAATTTAACATACCTGTTATCATATACGTCGTGAACTCTCGTTATCAAGATATCAAACTCTTTAATTTGTTCTTTCGTATTCTGATAGAAATTCTTCCATTCTGGATCGGTCCAGGTTAAAGACATTAATCCAGGTTCCAACAGGGATGCTACACGAACCAAGTGTGGAAGCAAGAGTGGTCTCACTTCGAGTTTCACGCGTTTTGTAGTGAACACAAATTTCTCGATCATTAATTGAAGAGCATCGGTAATTAATGTGAAATGATCTTTCTTTGTCAAAATCGTCAAAGCGACGATAGGAATTTCCAAATTTAATTTTGACAAACAATCAGCTTCTCGTATCAATAACATAATGCGTCCTTCCAAATTCACTTTAATCGTTCCTGTTTTTTCGTCCACTGTCAGCAAAGATCTAGATTGTTAAAATAAAACGAAATAGTTATTTGAATTAATGAAATCAACTTGGCCGATTTACCGTTTTAAACAGTCTTCGATGACCCAGGAATTTTGATGAGTCCAAACCTCGGCGATGTCTGATTTATACTGATTCAAAATTCCGAGGGCGTAGTTGTATCTTTTTTCTAATTCCATAGTGAGCGGAAGTGTCTTCAGTACTGGATGAGTGGAAACAGACGTGGCTAACTCGTCAAGGTGCACCCTAAATGAAAATTAACTGCATAGTATTTATTTTTTTACAGAAATCAGAAATAAAGTCAAATAATACTCGATGCAAAAATACTTTTGATTAATTTATTAATACAATAATTACTTCAAAGAATTAGCCCAAGTAAGCCTTCCAGCGATCGCTGGCATGTGCCTTGGCAATGGTGGATCATCCCTCTGTTTCTTAAATAATCTTAATATTCTGTCTACTTCCTTGTCACAGTATTTTACCACTATATTGTATTTTTCATCCAGTTTTGTTAATGGTATCTTTTCGCTTACCTTGATAAAGGAAAATCATTTAAGAAAATGGTATGTTGATAGAATCCTTAAATAATACAAATACTCCACTTTTTCGAATCGTGTCAAAAATCGTATACCCTGAGGCGTTTCCCACACGTCCTCATAATTTTTCTCAATAATGTTACCAATGTTTTGCTTCAGAGAATCTGTTTTAGCCATGAAGCTGTCATAATCAATATCAAATTCAGTGTTTCTTGGATCCAGATAATCGTATGACTTGGTGGTAGCTATATTTTCAGCTTCTTCGAAAATTCTTATGGCGTCATCTAACGCTAATAAGAAGAATAAACAAACCCAGAAATTTAACGTTACAACGTTTCGAATGTAATGCACGTAATTAAGTAATTAAAAAAAAACATGGTACAGTTGTATTGCTGATTAAAATTGTAAACATAGAATATGATATTTTTCTTTTTTACAAAAAAATTTATAATATCATGTTCAGTACGACATATGAGTTCAAAGGGTTAAAACTTCAAAATGTCTGACTATATATGTGCATTTCCACTGTAGCCATCAACGTAATACCTTCTCCCAGTAGAAGACCTTCCATTCGCCTTTCGAAAAGATTCTTATAATCCTGTATCAGTTCGAACATGGTCAAGATCTTTCTTATTCTATCACAAAATAAATCGAACCTTCCGAAGACATGTGTTTCCGAGAAAGAAAATTCTTGTTCAGTTATAGCTGGTGAGCATCGAACTAGTCTGTAGGTTTCTCTGTAAGCTCTTCAAGAAAAAACAACAATTGCCAATTTTTTGCTCTATAGAAAGTAACTAAATGTAGTTAATATTAAATTTTACCATTACTTGTTTAGTCTCAGACAATGTTTCAATTTTGATCGTGCAGCTGCTCGATCTTGGCCCCATACGGTTTCTCGACCTCTGTTTGTAACGTAGTCTCGACAGGCCACGATCATTTGATTCGTGATCTTTATCATTAACGAACTGGTTCGCTCTGAGGTGTTGTAATATCGTGAAACACTGTATATTAGACGGACTGTTTGTAACAAGGACACCAGGGAATCCCTCATTTTCACCTGGTAACGCGAACAGAATCATTAATTACATTATTAATGAGAGAAAATAAAAATTTATAGAAATCACTGGAAATATATGGTATCATCTTACTGGATCATCTAAATATAGACAGTGGCAGCATTTCTCTAGTGCTTGGATAAATTTTGCATTGTCCTTAGCTTCGTTGTAACAGTATGTAATTTCATCTTCAGTGTCGACCCAGTCTTTTATCAACTTCGAGCGTGCCACTTGGAGGCATAAAAGGGACATTCGTATTTCATGATCCTGCGTATTTATAATGATCATTAAATGGATCAGTTTCTGCATTCAATTTGAAAGTAAAATACTACCTGAAGTTTGTTTACTAATTGACTAAATTGCGCTCCTCTCCGTTTCCAATATTCCAATTCTTGTTGTGGTCCAGAGGTATCGTTTTCTCGTTTCACCTGTTTGCTTTCCGCCATGAAATCCTTCAATCTTTTGATCCACGCTTTTACTCTTTCTTCTACGATATTTACAGCGTTTTCTTTTGCTATGAACGCTTTTGCTTCCTCGAAATTGTGCACCTCGTTCATTAACGTTTCACCGTCATTGAATATGCGCCCTTCGTGGGCTACCTGTTCACACACTACGAAAAATTGATTTTTATACAAAAATTCCAAATCATAAACGCAAAAATTAATTTAAGAAATAGACATTTTCTTTTCCTGTGGACGTTTTATTTAACCCTTTGCACTCAAAGCATATTGGCTATACTAATAAAAAATAATTTTTATTTTAAATCTAACAAACTGTTACCTTTCAGGGCGCTGCAGAAGGATCTCAAACCAGGCAACAAAAGGCTCTTGATCATAGGACAGTCGTCTTCACCTTCGGAACCAGGGTGAGCGAGAGCATCCATAAAGAAGTATTCAACAACTCGTTGTATCGCTGTGATTATTCCCACCTTTTTTGTATCTATTACACCCGTATAGAGATCCTTTTGGAAACCCTCTTCAGGTAACTGTTTCGAAACGTTCAATCTGAAAAAATTTAATTTTATCGATACACTGGATAATTGATTCATTATTTATTTTATTTATATATTACTAAAAGTAGATGTAGTTATTCAAGTTACTGTTTATTTCAATCATAATCACTAGCATAATTAGGTGGGGTCTAGGATAGACCTGCCTCCTTCCCTCATCCAAAATATGGGCCAACATCTCTTCATTACTATAAAATTAAAAAAAAACTGAGATTCTATGATTCTAAAATTCTAAAGTTTTCAAATGTTCAGGTTCTGAAATTCTGTGAACCCAACCCGCCCCAGGAAATAGTCCTAATTATGCCAATGGTAATATTTCATAAAATGATCATTGAAATAACCTGAACATGTAGATACATATTCCAGTGCAAGGAACTTGCCACCCATCAGTTAAAAATAGTTTCTTCTTTCCAGGTTCTTTTGTTTCCTTTTGCTCTTTAACTTTAGGTGTCAATACGTTTGGACCTCCTCTAGCACTTGAGCTTCTGGTTTGTGTCTATATAAATATTTTTCTATCAAATCATTGTTATTCATATTTAATAGTAGTAAAGTAGCATAAACTGTTACTATTTCCACAGGACGTAGAGTTTCTGGTTCGTCCATTTCTTGATAGTACCATACCAGGGTGGATCTCATGTGTGGTAGAAACAGTAGATTGATTTCGTCGAGCATATCTCCCTCGAAAACGTGATCCATGACCTCGTGACGAGACAATTGGGTTGCATCCATCAAGAGTTGGAAAGCGAATTCTAGTCGGGGATCCATTTCCCCTCGTCTTGCTTTCCTTTCGCATTCTTCTCGACGTTTCTACAAAAATTGTGAGTATTATTCATTTTCGTGTATTTTTATTATGTAACATGGAAAATAATTTCTTTCGAAATAATGTCCTCGAAATTCAGGAGAAAAGATTCTTTAACTGAACTTTGAAACATAGAAAATGTGATAAATATAGTATAATCACAATTCTCTATAATTGAAAATATTAGAATGTTAGAATACTAATAGAATACTAAAATATCAAAATATCTGAATGATAAAATTTAATTTTTCAAAATGTCGAAAAGAATGATCAACCTGTAGAACATCACCACTGCTTTCTTCGTCACTGCCTTCTTCAGAATTCTCCGATTTTTGTTGGATCATTAGTGCAGGTGCTTGTACGAACATTATGAAATTACTTAAAACACAAGAGAATCGGGCGAGAAACGAAAGGGTAACGCTAGAATAGGATCTCCCAGGAGTGATATCAGTAAACTGAGGATGTTTCTAAAAGGGTGGAAGGTGGTGTGACGGGGTGAATACATAGTGCCACAGGTTCGTGTCTGGTACCACCGTTCTATGTATCGTTCGTGTCGTGTGGGAATTTAAGCACGGTTCTACCATCAGCAGTCAATATTACACCGTGTGTATTCTTCTGTGATTGTGGCAGGACCATATCTAGCAACAAAAGTGTTGCAAGAAAATATTTAATACAATTATATAGTGCTTTTTTCATAATCCACATTTCATAATTCCATTAATGATATAAAAACTATATTTTGTATCAATAATGGTTATTGCTATGAGAATATTATATGTGTAAATACACAGTGATGTGGTGGCTGTTTAAAGTTCCTGAAATGGATAAATACAAATTACAAATAAGTATTATATTTTCATTTAATTTTGTTTTTATGGCACGTTTATTCTTGTTGTATCACGTTTCTGTAGTACAATAGTTGAGACGAAGATTCAAAAAATTATATTTTATATAATTATATCCTCTGGCTTTCACACTGATGAGTTCATTTTGAGTTAATTGCTTATCAACATCTTTCGCTGGAGAAGAACAATCATAAATTCATCAAACGAAAATCCATTTCCAAATTTCAACCATACTCAATTATCGAAACCAATATTACAGTACATCTGATAGATCATGTCAATGATAAATTTGATTCGTATTGAAAGACTATCACTCAACAAACATGCAACGAATCAAATGTATTCAAAGCACGAGAACCAAGAATACTGTAGAATGTAGAGTATCCTTTATTTCCACTTCGAAGGTCTCTAAATAATGTATTTGTGCTTAACCTTTTGCATTATAATTGTTTTCTTAATTTGTTCTCAGCCAACTTTAATGTAATTTTTATTGACCATATGAAGTGTCACGTCTAAGGTGACTTAAAAGTTCTAGGGAAAAATAATTTTGTCACGCTAGAGGTGACCTCATAGCGCAAAGGGTTAAATATTTCTTGAATCCATTTATTTACAACGACACAAAGTTCGTTTGTAGTACGAAAGTGATACAAGCAAACGCTTCAGTATACATGAATCAGCAACTCGCCTTTAAAGATTTTGATAAAGATCAAAAATTACGTGTTAAATCGTGTAAAATTCAAACGAAGCATTGTGATTGTTATCTAGTAGAAATCTAAGGGTAGTTATCGTGAAGAACATACATGAATTCGTTCATGGTTCGTGCAAAGGGAACGTTCATTATCTACGATCTCCTTAGTAACAACTTGGCTCGTTATCGGGACGATGCATCGCGCTAATCGTTTAATTATAACAGCTAAGAGAGACGATCAATTAAATTCAAGATTTCTATTTTAGCTTACTTTAGCTTCCTCCGTGGTCTCCGTCATCTTGACTAATTTTCTTCAATTATCCTTTCCGGTACACCCTCGAACAACCCTCGTCGTTGTGCAGTACACACCGTAATGCGACATTAACTCTGTTACCCAGTCTCTTAGCTAACAATCCTTCCTTGTCTCTCTTATTCTACCCCCCTCTTACGTCATTTAACTTAACATTAAGAGGTAAATATTAAGAGAGAAAGAATAAATTTAGAATGTTGATCGATGACACGATAGAAGAGAAATTTTCTCCAGGAACAATCAAAAGATTCTAAATGAGGGGTAAATTTATGATGAATAGTCTTATCGAGCGAGGAGCCATTATCGTGATAAGGAAAGGAGGACTGGAAACAAATGTACCGTGGCTGTGATTGGTCTGGCAACGAGTCAAAAAGTTACCCTTGTGCATCGACCGATGGCTAATCAGGAACGAGTTAAAGGTACTAATTGATTTGTACAGAGGTAGTTAGTTGTACATGGTTATAACAATAGATCTTATTTGGTCAAGAATTTCTTACTCTTGAATAGATAATTTAGAGTTCGGGATTCTAAGCGTTTCATTGCGAGTCTGCTAGAGCAGGACTTCTCAAACTTTTTCACTTAGCGACCCCCTTTGTCCGAGCAAATATCTTTGCGACCCTAGGTAACGAGGTATATAAACTAGGAATACGAATTGAAACATTTGCTGATAAATTCACAGACATTCTATACTTTTAGTGTTAGCAGACTGGTTTTGAATTAATTTTCAGTCGTTGCAGGTCCAGGAATTTTTTAATTTTGCTAAAATTTCTGAGACCCTTAAATTTAATTACGCGACACTATACGAGATCGCAAAGTACATTTTGGAAAGACCTGTGCTAGAGGACTTCTGAAAATCGGAGTTTATCCCAAGAAAAATTCATCCCAACCGAACCTGAAATTCTTAAGTCCTCTCACACCCCAAGCGTTCAGTTAACTGCCTCGCGCTCCCCAATCATTCCACCGCATCTCCTGACCCATAAGGCTAAAAATAGTAACAGTGGTAATAAGAATATTTTTATGATACAACCGAAAAAGGAAGTGTACGACAAGCAGAGATTTGCACACGCCGGCAATAAAATGGTATCGATTAGCCGGCCATGAGAACAATGAAGGAGGCTGGCAAGAATTCAAAAGTTTGCTAGCAAGTATCGTTCTACGTTTCCAGGAAGCTGTTAGAGATGGAGAAGGGGTTTTCGACCCTATTCCATCGGTGGCTGCAAGGCGGACCAGCCGCGTGTATTGACTAATGTCGGCCGTATTGACTAATGGCTGGGCTGGTGCGCCGTGCAAGTAGTACCAGTCCGTGTCAGGTCGGACACACTCGAGACTACGACCGTATTTACGGCGCGCCTTCCTCCGAAGACGAAGGGTTAAGGCGCATTTATGTAACAACACGTAAGCGAACGCTCGTTCGTCGTGCGACCTACATTTCCTGGCCAATGTCTGGGGAAAAGGGGGTCATGAACGTGCGCGCGATCACTGACCAGGTCAGCGAGAAATGATTTTTATTTAACGCTACCAGAATCACACGGTATTGCTCGAGCATCTCGTTCTGAGATCTAGAACATTTGTGGCGATAAGTAGTCTGAGAATTCATATGCATTTATGGTACATCAAGATATATAAAAAATTATTACACGAAATGCATTATGGATGGAAAGTTTATTTTTATTTTCTTTTAACGATATTTATTTATTTATTTATTTTTAATTATATACGCTTGATGAGAAGATTCTTTATAAAACGGTTGACAAAATTGTGTGAATATTTATGTGCCACCCAGTCGACGTGTTAAACTTCAATTCATGAGGAAACGTTCGACAGGGATGAATGAGTTTCTATAGAAGAGAAGGTTTTTGTTCTTGGTCAGGGAGTTGACTTTGAATAAGGTTTTTCAGTTGAGTGCACAAGGACTAAGGAAAAGCAGAGAATTTTCGGGGGTTGGGGGAGTAAAACCCTACTGTCATTCATTTTGGTAGTTGGGTGGTGTGATACAATGGGCTACATTAAAAGCTTAATACCAAAAACGTGTAGCTTAAAACGTGATTCTTAGTTGGAACACAATTTTTTCAATCAATGGAATACAGACTATTTATTAAAATTGTGTATCTATTTTCTTCTAAATTGAATACAAACGTTCTATTAATTAATAAAATAAAGTATGAGAATATAGTCTAAAATATTTTTAAAGTTAAAAAAATTGAAATAAAGGAGGAATGGGTTAATAAAAATTTACCAAATTGTATATCGAGTGAAATTTGTAGCATCTACGGTCTTGCCGTTTATTATTGGAATATCATCTTACTATTCTATGCTCTAGGACAATAATCGTTAATATTGTACCGTTATCGTCAAAGTCATATCACGACGTATCTAGTACACCCGTCATTGCTCTTGAACAGCCAGAATTGCTTCATAGTCTATCGTGATTCGAGTTTCTCTTCACTTGATTGTAAACTCGTCACGATTTCAGGATGAAAGCACACGGTTACGGTATATGCGTCTTCGCGTAACATGCAAAACGCTATTTTGTAAAGAAAGCGTGGAACATTTATTCGAGTGTAAGCAACACGAACAAGATGACAAGATTGTAATTCATTGCTGCAACGCATGCTTGCATCCCTACAATGATCGTTCTTATGATTTAATTCGTCTTTTTGATTGCTTGCGCGTTTCAGTGATCAAATGAAACATCTTACTCGTAAATTTGTATACTGAAAAATTAAACGGTTACGTTTTTTTCAACCTATGTACATCGATTATTACAATATTCGATATTAGAGGTGTGTTAGTACCTGGAAATATCGAGTCGGATCGGGTAGGGTCGGAATTGTTAATCTCGGATCGGATCGCATCGGGTAAGATCGGATATGGTCGAGTTCTCGAAAGTATCGATGCGCGAGGATTCGAAAATTTCGGGTACCCGATAGCCGAAGTGCTAATTCGAAGGAACGCTACCAATTCTCACGGTCATGTTCAATAAAATTCGTCCGGAAACAATTCCCAACCTGATCCGAATATCGGGTACCCGAAATTTTATTCAATATACATATATTCACGAGTAAAGATCAATTTTTTTTAGATGCTTCATTTGAGTAGCTGAAATGATTGCTTAATGCACTTTTGCTCCTTCACTGCATTTCGTACAGTGCTCACTGTGTGTGTGGTAACCATGACCGAAAACGCGGACGAAAATATTTAATTTCATTTATTTATAATAATTTTTCTAATTTTAATAATTCTCAAAATAGGGACACTATTATTTACCTTGTATTGACCGTGCCTACCTTTACCTGAAAAGTATTTAACTTTTTGTCAAAAGTTTCTTATAAGAATGAAATATTCCCGAGGTTTCGTTCGCTTTTACCACACAAGTCGCGGTTTAACGTCGCGACGATCATCGATTGTACAACCACATCATGACACTGGGCATCCTTGAGTGATCGATCAATCTTCCATTTTAATAACCACTTAAAATATGCAATAACAGCACGTCCGGTGGTGAGGTACGTTACAAAACTAGTACAAAACTAGCGGCTAGGTACAAAAATGTAATTAATCATTAATAATGGAGGCCACCCGGAAATCTGCCATGGACCAGCTTCGTGCTTCCATTTCCTCTTACCTCTGATACAATCCTTTATTATTACTTTTATACAAGGAAAAGAGAAAATAGTAAAAAGAGGAAACAATCTTTCTTTTTTAACCCTTGGACGACGAGAGGCTAATAGAATGATAATTAAGATTCTAATTTTAGTCGAAATACTATTGGATATTTTTCATAGGTCTGGGTCAAGATTGACCCGGCTCCGCCGTTCAAGGGTTAATACAGTTACCAGTTACCCTTTTTTCTT